ATGTACGAACAAAATATGCCGGCCGTGGATAGTCTGCTTCGTATGGCAATACAGAGGTACCCCTGTAACTCCAGGGATGTTGTCTTCGCTTTTCGACAGTCATCGGACGAGGGAGCGAGCATGTCAACTACTGCTATCACAGTGATATCCGTTTTAGCTATTCTGGTTGTAGCTGTGATAGCTACTCTGATTATTGTATATGTGATAAGGCGGAAGCACGTGGCGACAGGTAAGGATGCTTTATTCGCGATATATCTTTCATGGTGTAAATTTCTAGTTTATACGGAAGGCAATTAATAAAAAAAAAATCATGAAAACTTTATTTTTTTATTTTTTAGTGACATTCGGTAAATTCAAATTTTAAACAATAACATAAATTTATCTATTACTGAATTAATGGGTTTTTTTTGCCATTAAGCATGATTTCTTGTTGTATAATTATTTTTTAAATCTACATATTTTCTTAACAGTTGCAAGACCTGACAGACAACCGATGATGCAGAAGGTCCATATTGAGGAGGGGGGGGGGATGACGAGAACATCTACACAAACAGGTCCTTTGATGATGCAAGGCTCCACCCCCAGGCTTCCCCCGCTATCCCCTCACGACAGAGGCGACTGACATAAGTCTGACATACACAATAACCTCCCCTAAAACACACACACACTCAAAATAAAATACACGATAGGGACACTAGTTTCAACTATGTTTGCTTTGTTGTATATTTAGGTGCATCCTGTCAGAGGCGGTTTACATTTTGAAATGTGACATAGAAAATAACCTCTCTTAAAACACATACACACTCAAAATAAAATATGGTGATCTTTTCACTTTTAATTTGCTGAAGACAGTGTTTGTTTTATGCATATTTAAGTTCATTTAACTCTTCACAACTTTTTTTTATATCTTTGACGCAACATACACTAAATGTTCACGTCATAGAAATATGACGTTACCATTTCCCCTCAAGTACTGAAAAGCATGGTGCAGGTTTCTCTTAAGTTTAGCGTAAATAATATTAAAACCTGATATTTTGATAAAATTTTAAGAAATAACTTTTCCTATTTTATGAGATTTAACAAGTATAAAATGAAAGGAATTTGGAAAAAAAATGAAGATTAAATGAAATTCTTAAAGTGCGTGAAAATGCGTTATTGTGGGGGAATGGTATATGCTTGATTTTGCGTCAGAAATAGGAAATGATATATGCATTATAATGCGTGACTGCGGGGAAGGGGGTTTATTTTTATTAAAACATTATTCGTGCAATGTAAGGGAAGGGTAAGCAGTATTTAATGAGATCTCTTATTATTTTTCTAAACTTCAGCTGATATTTATTTTGATAGCGAATTATGAAATTGTATGCAGATACTACATTGTAAGATAGAGTTGTCAATCTGTTAATGTGTTCTTTTATACCTCTTGTACAACTACGTCTGTATTTTTGCTTAAGCATATGCTTTATTTAATTGATTTTTCTTTTGTATTTCTTAAAAGTTGCTTGTTAATGTTCATTAGATAAATAATGAATTTAAAGATAATTTTGATTGGTTAAAAAACGGGTATTTCTACATTTGTAAAACTTTGTAAGTTACTTTTATAACCTTTGTCAAACAAAGACATTTTTCTGGTGAGGATTTCTTAGAGATTGGATAATATGCACACCTGCGTATACTGTTCTACAGAATAGTCAAGTACAACTAATTTTTGTCTCAATTGTATGCAATTTTGAAAATATATTGAAATTTTATTCAATTATGTTTTGTTTTCTTTAAATGGAGACGTAATTAATAAAAGTTATACTATGGCAATTGATTCCTCTCCTCCTCATAGTCCTGAACGACTTAACCAAACGCAGAAGCTTGTTCCCCTTTTTTTCATTTTCGTTTTAAATCGAGGATTGACACTTTCCCCTGTTTGTTTGTATGCAAGATAAACTAGTGTCTTTGCAAACTATAATTGTCTGCTTAGAAGACAGTCTAATTACAATATGACTGATGTTTCGAATCTGTTACTGCTTCTCGGTTAACTGACAACAGAGGATTTGGTACATACTGACCAGGCCCCAGGATCATGAAACACACTTAGACTTAGGTCAAAATTTCAATTATCTATAAAATCTTTAAAACTTGATAAAGGAAACTCATAATTTGCATACAACAGCAGACTGATGATACAAAATTGGAAGGCATTTTCATTTTGGGAGGCTTGACCTCTAAAAAAATTCAGCATCTAAGGCACTTTTTGACTTAAGCTTAAGATGCTTCATGATCCTGGGGCCAGATTTCATTTTTACCCTATAAAATATCAAGAATCCAGGCGCTTCCAGAGGCCTATCTTCCCTGCCTAATAACCTCCTCCTCTCCAAATCCCTGCTTATAATGATGAAAAATTTACGCGTGCTCCGCCTTTTTATGGACGTTTTAATGCATGCCATTGTATGCACTAATAAATCCACATTTCATTTTTATTTCAAACTCTCTCGACTTTAGGCGCGATGTTGGTGACCTCTGACGTTACACTTTCATAGCGTATTAATTTACGTAATGCATCTAAAAGTGTTACTTGCTTGACTGGTACCCCATCGCTATGTCTTTGTACTTGAAATACGAATGTAAAAAGTCATTGGCTACTTATGATTAAACTAAAGAACATAAATGGCGCTTAATATATTGTATGTATATGTTTTTTAATTACTCAAAGCATTTTAAACGCATTTACATTTACATGTATTACCTTGAAGCAAAACGAATTTTTTCGTGTAAAGTACGTCCACTGGACAAATATGTTGAACGTCGTAAATGTTGCGTAAAATATTAATTAATGGAGTAAGTCTATTAATCTGACATTCAATCTAACCGTTTAGGGTATCAGATTATGAATAACAAATACTGTAATCGATGGGGAAAACAATTATAATTTAACAAGTCTTAAAAAGGCATTGTCTTATTTTTGCACGTCATTTTAGACTCTGGACATTTCTATTGTTTTGAACATATTTTATTGTATAATTTATACAATGGGATTGGCTACAAGTTCTTGCAATTTAAAAAAACCTCTCCCTGTAATATATACAATAATTAAATTAGTGATTGCCAAAATAACAATTTAAGGTGTAAAGTTATACATATACATGATAAATACAAATATTTCAAGTTAATACAAAATATTTCAAGTTAAGACATTACTAAAGATTCAGAGTTCTTACAATATGTAGATCTATAATGATACATGTAGCCTAAATGATTACAATTATAACAGTTATTTGGAAATATATATATATATATATATATATATATATATATATATATATATATATATATATATATATATATATGTCTCAGTTGATTCGATACGCAAGAGCTTGCTCTACGTATGAACAATTTCTTAAACGAGGTAAATTACTGACAAGCAACTTGACAAAATAAGAATATCAGCAGTCTCGTTTAAAGTCATCATTACGTAAGTTGCATGGTCGATACAATGACGTTGTAAGCAAATACAATTTTATCATTGAGTCAAACGCTGACTGACGTTTTTCATACCAATTGTTAGTCCATCATTTATACACTGAATTGACGACGGATTTTTTCCGTTATTTCCTGATCATGACAAGGAGCACATGGCGAGTGTGACCGGTCGGCAGGGGATGCTCACTCCTGATCCCACCCTTGATCTTTTGGGGGTCCGGATTTGCTCTGCTCTTGTTTTGTATTTTTTTTATGGACTTTGAGATTGAATACTGTTTGTTATCTTCATATCCTTCCTTGAATTAACATAGTTCCTTGATTATGAAAATAAAAAGTGAAAATCTATGCTCATGATTTTAATAAGGAATATCCTTTCATGACAGGTATAATCGGTAATGCAAGCCCAAGTTTTGTCTGCTGTTGTGAATGGAGTAGAAAAACATTAAATCATTGACAGAAGTAAATAACTGATCTTAAATATGAAAAAAACGAGGTATGGGTGTTTCTGTTGTAAAAAATGCTCATCCTTCATGTGTGTTTAAAGGCGATTCCATTCCGTTTCTTTCAACCCATGGGTCCTGTTTGTGCTTTTCAAGTGAATATTGTTGTGAGAGATTCTTTTTTTTTAAATACACATGAGAGATCATTGAATAATTGTGATGTGGAATGGTTAACATGTAGCTCTTTTAATTATCCCTTGCCAGATGAGCCATATAATTATCGGGAAATTCATAACTTTAGGCCTTTGCAGGTTGAACATGTCCAGGATATACACCAAATGGATTAGCAGATGTGCAATTTTAACGGAAGCCAATTTAGTTTGTCTTTGGAACCATCACGTGTATAAACGTTCACTAGGTAAAGTACTCAAGTTATCAATAGATGGAGGTAGCCTCTGCGAAATGGAAACCGACAATAATCGTCCTCTTTTACATAACAAAAAACGGAAATAAAGACATCTGTGTTTCTGACGTTTCAAATGAACCAACAATTTAACAGTTTTAAACATGACGCTATTTTCAAACAAATTATCAGTTAAATTCGTTCAAGTAGGCAAAAATTATGTTCAAGCCTTCTTTATTCCTCACTTAGATATTACATGCAGTGAAGGGTAAACTTCAAGGGTACTGCACCATGATATGTTTTTGGAATAGCATAGGGAATTTGATATTAACTATTTAACCACAACTTATTCATAGCGCACTTTTTTAAATATTTGAAACTATTTATCAAGATGAATTAAAATTTAATAAATTTGTACATTATTGACAAGTAATTTTCCATTAGAATGAAACTCCTATTTTTACTTACCTTGTCGATGGTTATGTGCAATATTTTTTTTGCGACAGAAAATTTGATTTTACGCATAAGTTTTGTAAAGTTGACATTTGAATGATGCTTTACAGATTGACAATATCTATGTAGTGCTGTGAAATAAAAAAAAATGTCGGGGGGTGGGGGTATGTTGTTTTCGAGGTGTGTAGAGACCGAATAATTTATGTGAACTTTGAAATGTAAATTGTAAATTGTTTCATACATAACTGCTCAACAATTCTTCATCCACTAAATCAAATCCCCACAATCCAATATATATTCCTCGAACCACGAAAATTGGATCCCACGAAAATATGTTATTTTACAGTGTTCGAAGACTTGGTCTTCAAATTTTCTGTTGGAATCCTTATGGATACCAAATGCGCCTTGTTATAAATTATAAGCAGACCCATTTTTAAATTCATATGAAGCAAAATCCATTCTATATCTTACGTTATGAAGAAACGACTTGTTTTGGCCTTCAGTTCGATATTAAAGATACAATGTACTTAAATATATTTGTCTTTTTTCTCAGTGATGTATGTTCAAATCAATTCATTTACGGCGAATATCAATTAATAATACTTACTTTCATTCACGCCTTGATTTGGTATCTTCCAATAATCTTAAATCTTAAAACAAAAGATACAACAGTCTTCGGCATCTGTTTCATATTTGAATATTTTACTATAAAAACATTGATGGTGACATATTAACAAAGCTCCATGATTAAAATTTCAATTGTAAACGTCCTTGATTAATGTTACCATATACCCGTATCACCGGTAAATAAGTTAACGTCTCTTAGTTGATTAGGTACATTGAACATGATCTACGTACATTTAAAAAAAATTCAATTGATAAGAAAGCTGATGATAGAATTAGAATATCAAAAAACTTATTTCAACTCATTGTTTTGTAAACAATTTGCAATATGGCGGAAACCATGAGGTTGTCAACAAATACTGTTAAATCTATTATTTACTCGTATGATGACTAAGGTTTTCTTAAGGAATCACTGTCTAGCTAGGAGACTATGCTAGGGACATCAACAATAGTGGAAAACATTGGATAGTTTTAGCATTAGGAAAAAAAATTATCACATGTTTCCCACAATTTTTTTTATCACTGGCATTGTCTCCTAACAAGACAGTGATTCTTCATATTTTCACTTTAACTTGAAATAACAATCTTTAAAAAATCAAATTCCATCTTATAAAGTAGGTTTGAAATGCTATCTTATTTTCCATTGCACCGCCCCATGATGTCAAATTTTACTGTAAAATAATTGTTCCATAAAACACGAAACAAATTTAATGATTGTTCAGTTACTGTAGTCAAATATCAACATTTATGAAAAAAAAAACAAAAGAATTTTAAAATATGATCAACGCAATCTTGTTTATTTAAATTATACATTTGACCTAGATTTAGTTTGTCGGAAGCACAAGCATGTGTATAGACCCTAGGTTACTTCTCCTCCGCCATATTCCATGCAATGTTGCAGTTGAATCGGGAGTTGGTCAGGAAACCGATTTTTGTGGATTTAAAAATGTAAGAGAAAGTTGACATGTTTACGAATGTTAAAATAGTAGAGGAAGATGAGTTGCTTACAAACTTGATGGCATTGACTGTGGGACGCTGCCTTCATCAGATGATGGAGTGTGGCTGTGTCGATTTCTCCATGTTCTCCAGAAAGGCTGTTACAAATGTAACGGAAGTGGAGTTCTCGGTCTCGCTGATAGTGGACAGCGTTGCGCTATACATGTAGCGACTGGGTTTTGATCCTAAGATAATTCATTATTTTTTTTGCTGGTAAAAGGATATATCATATCTAATTACTCAGTAAACAATAAAACATTTATTTTTATCATCAGTTTATTTATATGCCACTCATAAACATGCAGGTTGGCATTTGACCTTTCAGTAGTATTTTAATAGAGAAATAAACATACCACAGGTATTAAAATAAAGTTTTAACTATAATTTGTAGTGTTTTATCATAGTAAAACAATTGGAAATGGAAATATATAATAATAGTTAGGCCATTATTTTTACACTGATATTTTTCTACGGAATTACAATATCTGTATTATTTACATATAAAGGAAGATCATTTATATACAGTAAAAATAAAAGTGGCCCTAAAATAGAACCTTGTGGCACACCTGCTGTGACGGGCAAGAATTTAGAAGCATACGTACCTTAAATTATTTTACACATTGTGATCTGAAGCTTAAATAGGAATGAAACCAATTAATTGACATTTTGTAATAGTGATACAGCTTATTTATCAGAATATCGTGATTGATTAAATCGAATGATTTAGTAAAGTCTTGAAAAGTTATCCCTACATGATTTCCTTGATCCATAGCTTGTAATTAAATGTTAGTTTTCTTAATGCTGTTTGACAGGAATGAAACTCTCGAAACTAGATTGTGATTTATACATGTATATTAGATCAAGGGTAGTAGTAAAATCCCGTAGTTGATTGGTTATGTGTTCTTCAATTAATTTGGACAATGTTGGAAGAATTAATATAGGCGTGTAGTTTCCTGGATCAGCATGGTCCCCATTCATAAAAATAGGAGTGATTTTTGCTAAATGTGATGGAAATACACCATTCATGATGCTAGCATTTATATGATGAGTAATGGATTTGTATATGATTAGCTTAGAGTTTTAGTAGACGATGCCCAATTAAAACCCGATCATACATAACACTTGCTTCTATCGCAGATTTTTCGTTTCTTTTGAAGTTCTTGTTTGCTCTGCTCTTGATCGGTATATTTATTAATATATAATAATAATAATAAGAAATATATATAAAAATCAATTCAGAAGTGAAATGTTTCATTAGAAAACACCAAAATTTAATTGTTCGACTATAAGGAATTCCTTTATTTCGAATTGGAAAACCTTTTCATTCGTGTGGATGCCATATGTACACGTATTAGCCCTCTCATATCTTGGACGCTTGAAAATAGTACTTAGTCAATACATGTATCCATTGATTAGCATAGTCTGCATGGAACTACTTCCAATCTATAACCACCTTGAACCGATAAATGTGCGAGGACCCACCCTTTATATCTAGGGCTCTGGCGAAGCTTTCGAATATTCAGTACAATAGTGTGTAAAAAGAATGAGAATAGTTTATTATCAAATATAAAATTTAAAAAAAAATAAGGCATATCCCATATGAAAAAAATACTATTAGAATTCAATCGATGTATTCAGTTGACTACTAGTTGACGGTCAACTGACCGTCAATTGACCATTAGTTGAATTTTTGCCATGCAAATGAGGGAGCGATCAGCTCATTTGCATAGAGTGGACCACTGTTGAATGCTCCTATATATTCTTTGCAGTTGACCGCTAGTTGAATACCCCACTATTTCCTTTACAGTTGACCGCTAGTTGAATACTCCACTATTTTCTTTGCAGTTGACCGCTAGTTGAATACTCCTCTATTTCCTTTACAGTTGACCGCTGGTTGAATGCTCCACTATTTTCTTTGCAGTTGACCGCTAGTTGAATACTCCTCTATTTCCTTTGTAGTTGACCGCTAGTTGATTACTCCTCTATTTCCTTTGCAGTTGACCGCTAGTTGAATAATCCACTATTTCCTTTGCAGTTGACCGCTAGTTGAATACTCCATTAGTCAGTGCACGTAGATTGCTTTCATTAAAGTAATATACGCCGTATGGATGCCGATTTGTATGTGAAACAAAATGATTAAATGGTTTGAAACACATAAAGTGTAATGAAAAAATAATATTTCCACAAAATTTAACTATAAAACTCGTTGTAATAACAGAACAATAAAGCAATATCTGCAATCAAGAATTCACTACAGTCTTTTTATGAATATTGATAAAGGAAGTGCGTAAACAGTAGGTCTAAATATAGACATGTATGTCCACGGGAAATTATAGACAACGAGGCACGTTGCATTTTGACAACGATTATTAATAAAAGGTTAATATGCGTCATAACAGAGTATAGATGGTTGATACTGATTACATTTAAAGATAAGTTATATTAATAGTAACACGCCATCCATGTCAAAAGTGAGTTGTATCTCAAAGGGCTTACCTCGTTTTCTTGACGCCGTGTTTGTTTATCAATCTAAAAGTTGCTACGGCGTCACGTGGTGGATTTACTTAAAAATAGACATTATTCTCCTTGCAGGATAATAAATAATTATAATTTGATAACTTTATAACGAATTTTATTTAAATGGTGTAATTTACAGCATTTTCGTAACTTTTATTGGTAAACAAAATATATAAATTTCCAGCCGTATTTTAAAATGGCGCACGTTATAGCGTATATTACTTTAAATATTTGAAAAAAAATGGAGGGAGATTTGAAATCTAAGACAAGCAGTGTTCTTGAAAATATGAAAAGTCAAACCAGTAGAGTTTCTAAATTGACATAAATGTACTTGTAAATCTAAATGCATTATAAATGAATTGAGCTGGCACATCTGATAAGTTGTTACAATCCTTCTTTATTTTCTGGGCAAAAAAGGTTATATATAGAATTAGTCTAAAGCAATTGTATATTTTTACAACACAACAAGACACTTGATGCATAACAGGTTTTCAGAATTCTTTCAATATTTAAAAAAGTACACAAAAAGGGACCTATACTGGCTACATTTTTTTGCATTCCTATTATCTGTTTGAAAATAACAAGTTAATTTTAGTAAAAACAAATCTTTAAATTTTATATACTTACAATAGTACATGAGATATTTCACACGCTGAATCATCACGAAGAAAATAATAATGTTTCAAATCAAAATTCCCATCTTCTACAGAAAACACACATGTACTGATTCAAATCTTGGTTGTTGTAATTATGGTATAACAAACCCGATCTATGATAATGTAATTTTGAACCCAACATAAATTTAGCGTGGGAGAAATTTTCTAACAAGTCTGAGTGTTCAACTAGTGGTCAACTCTTGTTCTGCATGAAATTTCAAAGTATGAGCATTCAACTAATGGTCAACTGGCCGTTTTATGCAAATCAGTTGATCGCTTTTCAGAAAAGCATTCAACTCCGAGTGGTCAACTGTTTTCGCATTAACAGTTGACGACTAGTTGACGGTTAGTTGACGGCTAGTTGACGGTCAACTACACATTTTCGTATGGGTATGTAATACAAATAATTCTCAGTTGTCATACATAATAAAAGTATATTAAACATCATATTAAAGTGATGTATTATTAATCGGAATTTTGCATTTTGTTTTATCTTGTCTCTCCCATCAAAGGGTTTTTAAACCTTAATGCAATAATTGTTTATGAGTGCGTTTTTAAAATTGTTCTAATTTATTGTGTTGGCTCAGTTCAATATCGGAGATTTGTTTGATTTATTAATCATGTGTTTTCTAATGCAAAACATGCCTCGATAGGTGTTGGCACAATTGATAACCCAGTGCATTGCATGAATTGGTCCCGCACGCCAAATACAGAATAAACAACTTGCCGAAGTCTGTGATAGCTCATTCTGTATCGCTTCAAAACTCTTTTGAGATTGCTCACCGTTCGTTATGCCAATATTTTATCTCAATATATGACTGTTCTTGGCTACCATATTATATATCGAAAACGAAAGTAAACCTTTCCGGGTGTGGCTTTTTCTGTAATATGTTGATCTTTAGGCAGACCGACTTGCGATTCATATGATCCTACAGCAATCTTACAGGTAATGAAACGATTTTTCACAGTATTGAATAGGTTGGGCACAGTTTCTATTTCTAAAAAAATGAATTATTTCTCCTTTCAGTAATAAAAACATTACTTATTCGGGAATTTTCACCCTTTTAGCATCTATTTTCGTGTTTGTTTTAAATAGAATAAAACATAAAGTGAAAGAATATTTCACATCCTCTAAATATTCATTGTGTATTAAGTGTATGCATGCTCAAAACTGCACTATTTATTGCTGCAAAAAGCTGAAGAAGGAGTAATGAAATATCTCTTTGGTATATATTTCTTACGGAAGCTAACCTGTGTTCAAATTGGGCGATTGAATACGTTCAGCACTTGCTAACTCGTTGATGAAATTATTCGTCCTAGTTTTATTTTAAACTATTTATTAAAATGACATCGTAAAAATAATTTTAAATACTAGTGCCACTGCCCCTTTTATATATGAAAATAGTTATTTGTAATATTAAATCTCAAACGATATTCTTTTAAAATTGTTTTAGAGAGAATGCCTTTATTAGATTCCATACTTTTCGTTTCATCAGTAAAGTAAAAGGTTTGGATTACTGCTGCACGTGAGTTTCAATTCCTATGCATTTTTAAAAGATGTTACCTCCACGCAACCAAGCTATGAATTTTTTCTGTTTTTGAAAAAAAAATAGTTAAATACTTTTTAAGGGAAATATTCACATCAATTTAAAGAATACTCCCGATGCCGTATGATTAAATCTCATCTTACTCTTTTTCTACAGCACTGAAGGGTCGAATTTTTTGGTCATCGAGGTTCGTTAAATAAAAATTAAACACATCACATGGTATTTTTATGCACTTTTTATTTAATAAATTGATTTGAGGCATTATTAAAAAAATATGACAAAAATTCCCGAATTCAGTAATGCTTTTATTACTTAAAAGAGAAATAGTTCCCCTTTTTAGTAATACTTCCCCGAAAAGGGAACTGTGCCAAACCATTTAAACATTACTATTTCGATTGAATCGCACATACTTTTTTCACAAATTATAAAATTATATTATTTTAACGATATTACATTAGCATTTTTTCCTTCTTGCTAAACTTTTTCTGTCATTTTAATGAACAACAGACGACGGGTTATAATACTCAAGACTGAAATATTGTATATTTTACTTTCTTTTAAATGAAAACTTGCTTGGGCTATTGGGTAGTGGAATTGGGTTTAAAGGGAACGGAGTCAAAGAGTGGACCAATGAAAAAGCAAACCCGTTTTCCTAGACTTGTAGTTCTCAACACCCTTTTTCGGTAAAAAATGAAACTCATTAATTTTCACGCAGTGAACAAATTCTGCTCAATATTATACGTATTATACATATATTACCTGGCTTCGAGGACAGCATACCAGAATATTTGCAAGGTGACAGGAAAACCCTGGAGTGTTATGTCGCCTGATGCCGAAGGTAGAGGGCGACATTTCACTCCACGGCTTTCCTGTCACCTTGCATCAAATATTCTAGTTTTGCTGCCCGAGAATTAAGTCATGTAACATATGGTATATAACATTTTTAAACATTGAACCCTAATCGACCATCGAACATAATTATTGAATACTATGTACACAGATACGTTTAGTATAAATCCGAAATATACCATCCTATCTCGTGGGAGAAGATTTTCAGTATAATGACACTTGTGTTGATAACCTTTGTGGTATTGAAGGATTTTTTTATCCTCAATTAAATTATCCAAATCCTCTGAATTCAAATAAACAAATCGCAGAAGTTGTCCCGTCTTTTTAGTTTTCGGGGAACTGTTTACGTTTGCTTACCAACTGCCTCTGTAAATTTCGAACCCGACGTATTTAATATGCAGAATGATTGCACGCGAGGGAGGAAACATAACTGTGTTCGGGAGGGCAATATAACTGTGTTCGGGCGGGGTGGGGGGGCAATATAACTGTTTCCGTTGAAATATGTATCCGCCATGATTAAGCAGTCGGTAAAGGGCTTCAAATATAGACCTATACTCCGCACTCAGGGCCATTGAGCAGTGAGGGTTCTTTAGCGTACCAGCGCCTTTCGTGATACGTCTATCGCCTACGTTATTGAGGTCATATCCGAAAGACCAGTGACTATCACTTCTGATGCCGAGCGCTAGCGAAGGAAAAGTCACTACCTATTTTACGTCTTAGGTTTGACGCGGCGCCGCAAACGAGAATCTAACCCGGGCCTTCCGATCACGAAGCGAACGCTCTATCACTAGGCTACCGTGAACGGTTTGTACATCGAAGAATTTGTCAACATTGCTTTGTATGACTTTGAATAAATCATGAAAAATTTATGAATTTAAATATTAAGACTGAAGAATTATATAGAAGACATTAGATTTATCAAGTTTTCATTATTATTTAAAAAAAAGTTAAGAATAATGTGTATGTTTTTAATTCGGAATTTGTTTTTATGACAGGTAAACAGGATAATGCAAGCCCAAGTTTTGTCTGCAGTTGTGAAAAGAGTGAACATAGCTAGAACTATTGATTATGGACAGACGTATATAGCTGATCTTAAATGTGTAAATAAAGGAAGAGTGTGCTTCTGTTGTAAATACAAAATATGCGGATCCTTCTTGTGTGTTTAGAGGCGATTCTATTCCGTTTCTTTCTACTCATGGGTCTTGTTTGTGCTTTACAAGTGAAAATTCTTCCGAAAATTTTATTATTTGGCATACAAGTGAGAGGTCATTGATGAATTGTAATATTTGTCATAGTTACTCTATTGGATACCCTTTACCAGGTGAACCATACAATCCTCAGTTATTCAATAGATTTTGGCCTTTACATGATGAACTGACTACGGGATACACACCAAATGGATTAGCAGTATGCAAATCGGGGGCAATTTTAGCTTGTCTTTGGAATCATCAAGTGCACAAGCGTTCACAAGGCAAAGTACTTAAGTTATCTCTGGGTGGAGTTAAACTTTTTGAAATAGAAACAGACAAAAACCGACCCCTTTTTATTTGTCCGACCTACATAACAGAAAACGGAAATGAAGACATCTGTGTTTCTGATGTGAACGCCGTGGTCGTCACCGACGCGGGGGGCTTTCTGAGATTTAGGTACACAGGAGCACAAAGTGACCCTCAGTTTGATCCATTCGGTATCTGTTGTGATTCCAAGAATAACCTCATTGTAGCGGACATGGTGAAAAACAGAATTCACATGATTGATCAAAATGGCAAGCTGCTTCACTATATTCATTACAGTGACATACACATGCCACGAGCTCTCTGTATAGACGAGGATGATAATCTGTATGTTGGAGAATGGTCCTCTGAAGATATAAAAGTCCTCGCACTCCAATGACTCTTCCAAGAAGAACTTTTTTCAGAAATTTTTATCTAATAAATACTTTAATTCATTGCATTATTTGCTTCATTTTTATATATAATCTTTTTGATAATTTTGCAGTTTACTGTATAACTGTTCATATAAAAGTCAGTTAAACATACTAAAGAAGAGCTTAGTGGTATTGTTTTCGTTTCAATGAACTGTCCTTTATTAGTCTGAACCATATGTTGCTTCATACAAATGACTCACCCATTTTTACAAAAAGGAGAAAGTGGCTTGTTATAAGGATGGATAGCTGTGAAGCAACAGTCTGAATTAAGAAACAACCCTCTATTGTCAGGAAATCTTCTCATGCTTAATTTCAAAACATGTGGAACAGGCACTAGTATTTCATAAATGCAATGGCGAATCAAAAAGGTAATGCATATCAACATAAGTAAACACATTTTTAAAGCAAGTACTTTGAAATTTTAATGGGTTAAAGTAGCTACATGTATAAAACGAAGAGGTAGAGTAAGCCATTATAATTAAAAATATGTGCATGTATACGTCATTAAACGAAGTTTGTCTTCTCATTATTATCTCGAAAATTGGAACCACTTTTTTGCAAAAAAAAAATATATATTTTAAAAATTAGTTAAGGTTCTTTAGAGATTAAATAACATGCGTCTTCTGTCGTATATTAATATTTGATCATTTTCAGCTTCTTTGCAACCGCTCAACCAATTTTGGCATTGAACACATTTGGATGAAGGGGAACAACATTGTTGAATCTTGTGGCTCTATTGATTATATATCGAAAATACATTAATTCTTTGATTTTTTTCTTTGTTTCTGGGTTTTAAACAGACTGACTACATACTTAGTTACATGCAAGTTGAGCAAGTGCCATTCTTCCAGAATTGTACTCCTTGATATAAAGTAAACATTGATGGTGAACAAGGATGCCGTTTCCTAAATTGTGAAATGTGTGGAGGTAGGGTCAGGTATTATATTTAGCTATATATTATTGATTAGTTGAAATGCATTTTCCCCTACTCTGCCTATGAGTATTTAATAACCAAACTAAACATGCTTAGTTATAAAAGTAAAGATGAGCAATGATGTCTCTTTCAAAATTGTGAATGTCATAGCCTCTGGTTTAAAACATGAACCTTTGATGGTTAGAAAGTTGTTGCATGATACTAAGGCGACCTATAAGGCCCATGGGTCTTTTGTTTTCTCTTAATCGAGCCGTATGTTACATGACATCTTAGTCACCTAAAAAATGTATTCCCAGAGTTACAAGGTCATTTCATTGAAAAAATTTGTTTCTCTTCCAAAATATAATTCAAAAACTGGTGACTCAGCTTTGTTCAATGACGATTCAATCAAATTTTGACTCTTCCCGCCCGCCATAACTAACGCACAATATTATATATCAGAAGTGAACTTTCCATAAGAAGGACATTTGCTAAGATACGTAGATCCAAGCAGGTATAGTTGCATTATGCTTTTTGAGGAATTTCACAGGTCGAAATACAAACGTAACACTTCTATCGCGCTGAAAATAAAACATGTTATGGTAATATATCCAATCATTTCATTAGTATGCACTAATAATGGACCATTTGTAGTACATACATTTTTATTTATTTCCTGTTTATCATTTACATTTGATTATTGTAAGGAATATCTGAGGGGCTTTAATATTCAGATATATGTTCAAAATATTCATTCATGTCTTTTCTTTATCATTTAAACTATCTAGGACACAAATTAAACGATTTTTTCCTAACTTTTATACAAATGTTCAACAAGAGAAAAAGAGATAACATTAAAAAGTCCAAATTGAAACACGTGAAGAGGTTAAAGTTTTCAATATGCACATTACTGACGAAGAGCTTTATAGGAACGTATTTAGTGATATTGTAATGTTTCCCGGAGTATTTTATCAATACATTAGATAATTTTACTTTATTTGTCTACTTTTACGTATCAGTGGAAATATTGAAAGTACATACAGTCTTCACAAATTAACACGACCTTATCTGGACGAATATATGTACCCGCTACCTCAGATACTTGAAAAACAAATTTTGTAAAAAAGATTGATGAGATTCTTCTTTGACAGCCTGATAACACTTTATATCCATGTAACATATAAATGTTACTATTCATCATGATAAGTAAATAATATAAACATCATAATATATACAGACCCTACTATTTTAAGAGTAGATGTTCCCCTGTAAAATTTTTTTCCCAAAAAATAAGCCCTAAAGATGATTTTCCTTAAGGAAAAACGACTCTAGAGGAGGATATTTTTCCTTAAGAAAATCCCATATCGGAGAAATCCTACCCTATGCGTTTTTTCCCGAGAACCAATCTACTCGCCATCAAGAAAATGAATGTACTTATGTCTTTGGACGGAGATTAAAATATGAAATCTGAATTATAAATCCCTTTTTCTCAGTAACCATTCAGCCAATTTCTTGAAGCGTGGAAATCATATGGGCACACATTGGTATATATAAATATTCTTCAATTAGTTGTACCGTTAGCTCCGTAGACGGTACGCTTGTACCCTTATCCGGAGGTCATGAGTTCGACTCTCGGCTGCATTTACTTATATCATTTAAATAAATGGGTAGCAACTGTTTCTTCGCAATGGCAATTTAAAGTAAAAGTGGGCCCTTCTGATCAAGGCAGGTATTGACACGATAAAGTTCACTCACTGCTTGATGGCCCTAAGTGCCGAGTGGAGATCGAAATTTAAAGCCCTTCACCGGTGTATGATAACGTCTCTAAACTGGATGTAAAACAGCATACAATCAATCAATCAATATACAATTGTATTTTTAATTTCACGTAAAATCTGCCTCTCAAAATTCTGGTATTAAAATATTGCCATGGGTAATTTATTTAAAAAAATTTCAAAGAATTTGAAATTTAGAAAAAAAAAATAATAATGAACATTTTTATTTCTTATTTGCTTTCAAATCCAGTACAGAATTCGGCTTGCAAAAGAAATGTTTTGCTGTGTATACGTTTTTGCCTTTTCTTCAAAAACACATTATTCACTGTTTTTCAATTCTGTTTTTGTTACAATGTACATGTAGTTGAAAATATTATTTTAATTTCTAGAAAAATCTCAAGAAAATGCACATTATTTTTATTTTCATAACACTTAATAATTCCCCCTTTCCTTAAATTCTTGTAATTTATATATCAATTTTAAGTTATGAGAATAATTTTCCATTTTTTTCCAAAGAAATACACGATAAAATAGCGTGATCTTATATTTTCTTCAATTCTAAAATATTAATTATATACCCCACATATCAGTTGAAGTAAAATATGAGAAAATTGGAAAAAGGAAAATTGATTGTCTCAAGAATAAAAAAAATTACTTCAATTGAAATAGACCTTTATGCTCATAATTTGGAACTTGTTTTCATGACAGGTAAGCAAGATGATTCAAGCCAAGGTTTTTTAAGCATGTAGGATAAAATTAAAATTGTGAACGTGTAAAGATGTGTAAATAAAACGCGTCTAGAAATTCAAAGTTTCAATAACTTCCAGAAAAAGAAGATATTTTAGTATACATTTTCGTATACAATGCTATAAAAACATACAAGATATGAAATAATAGAGAAAGTTTCAGAAACTGCTAACATCAAATCTGTGTCTATACAACTTTAAAAACAATTTTCTCAGTTCCTTTTCCAAAAAATGGCAATATTCTGCTGCCGTTCGAGACGCACACTTTGAAACAAAAGTGAACTTTTCCACGAAGGGCATTCATCTTAGCAGGTAATGTTGCGATGAACTTGATATAATGAAAAATACAGGTAGTTAACAACAATAACAACAATAATATTGTCTGACTTTCTAGACAAAATTCTTGAATTAGAACGAATGTACTTTTTATTACTTCCTATTCGATCATTGTAGGTTAAAGCTGAACACGATTCGTAAATACGCATACACCATTTTATGTATGCGACACGGGGAATGACGACCCGTGTTCGTGCTGGTTACCTTGCATTACATTTGTTTCATATATGTTATTACAGTTACGTTTATCTGTGTTGTTTGTATACTGTATTGACTTGTACAACAATAATTGTAAGTTTCTTTCCGGCATTAGACGACGTTTCACGTTGGTATGCTGGCTATGGAGTTGTGTATAGCATATGTCCATAAACCACCGGTGTCGACTGATTACATTGAACGGTGACTACGTCCTGGGTCCGTCATTATGAAACATGCTTAAGTCTAAGAATGCTCTCAAGTATGAAAATTTTCTCAAATCCAAAATTCTCAGACTCAGAGGCCGTCATAAAAGTTTAGAAAAATAAAAATTCCTTAAACTCCTTTATTCTCAAATTCTCAGCTGAGTAATTCTCAAGAGTTGAGTTGAAAATTTCTGTTGAGAATTCTCAAAGTTTTATGACGGTGGACCCTGGTGTTTATATACGGGTCTTTATGGCCTGCGGGGTAGCGGGAATCGGGAGCAAAAATGGCGGATACATTCCTTTTACGAATCTTGTTAAACTTTTAATCTCTAAAACCATATAGAGTTTCCCAAACGGGATATTAATTGCGACCATAACAATATTTAAGTATACAAATTCCGCACAGGATAAACAATGCTTTTATAAATGACAACAGAAAAAATTGACTCAGCAAAATGACCATTACAGAGGCAAGAAAAACATTACTTACGTGTAGTCTAAATAAAGTAATACGTGGTTTTATCCCTTACTTACAGCGTAGATTTATTATTTTTTTATAAGACGAACAAATTGTTGAGCAACATGTCCATTATATCGATAAAAAGCAATCTTAAACGTAAAATTTACGTAATATCTGTCCCTATTGATAAGTGTTTTTTTATAAGACGCACCAGATCAGTAAACTGACCTTCAAATGACCCTAATATCCATAAATTAACAGAGGTACTAGTTGTTTTCTTTAACGACCAACCATGGTAGATGTCTTGACCTTGTTATGCTTCAATGTTTGGATTGAATGTAATGAAAACATTGAATCAAAGCTGTAGAGGAAGGGAGGGATGTGACCATTTTCGG